TGGGCTGCTGAGGAGAGGGAGAAGGGGATGGGGGGGGGGGGGCGACGACGACGCCGAAATAAAGCGGTCGGGGCGGAGAGGGCGGCGCGCTGGGCTGCTGGGGAAAAGGACCGGAGGGGGGGCGACGACGACGCCGAAATAAAATGGTCGGGGCGGAGGGGGCAGCGCGCTGGGCTGCTGAGGAGAGGGAGAGGGGGGGTGGGGGCGACGACGACGCCGAAATAAAGTCGTCGGGGCGGAGGGGGCGGTGCGCTGGGGTGCTGGGGAGCGACACATAGCGACACATGTCGACACAACGCCGAAATAAAGTGATCGGGGCGGAGGGGGCAGCGCGCTGGGCTGCTGGGGAGAGGGAGAGGGGGGGGGGGCGACGACGACGCCGAAATAAAGTCGTCGGGGCGGAGGGGGCGGTGCGCTGGGCTGGGCTGGCTGGGGAGAAGGGTGGGGGGGGTGGGGGGGGGGGGGGGGTGGGGGCGACGACGACGCCCGAAATAAAGTGGTCCGGGCGACGGGGGCGGCGCGCTGGGGCTGCTGGGGAGAGGGGATGGGGGGGGGGGGTGGCGGGCGAACGACGACGCCGAAATAAAGTGGGTCCGGGGCGCAGGGGCAGCGCGCTGGGCTGCTGAGGAGAGGGAGAGGGGGGGGGAGGGGGCCGCGACGACGCCGAATAATCGTGGGGGCGGACGGGCGGTGCGCTGGGGTGACTGGGGAAGTCGACACGTAGCGACACATGTCGACACAACGCCGAAAGAAAGTGGTCGGCGACGGGGGCGGCGCGCTGGGCTGCCGGGGGGGAAGGGATGGGGGGGGAGGGGGCGACGACGACGCCGAAATAAAGTGGTCGGGGCGGAGGGGGCGGTGCGCTGGGCTGGGCTGCTGGGGAGAAGGGGAGGGGGGGGGCGACGACGACGCCGAAATAAACTGGTCGGGGCGAAGGGGGCGGCGCGCTGGGCTGCTGGGGAGAAGGGGTGGGTGGGAGGGCGACGAACGACGTCCGAAATAAAGTGTCGGCGCAGGGGGCAGCGCTTGCTGGGCTGCTGAGGAAGAGGGAGAGGGGGGGCACGACGACGCCGAAATAAGTCGTCGGGGCGGAGGCCGCACTGCGCTGAGGTGCCTTGGGGCGCTACACATACAGAAAACAACATTCGACACAACGCCCGAAATCAAGTGGTCGGGCGCAGGGGGCAGCGCGCTGGGCTTGCTGAGGAGAAGGGATGGGGGGGGTGGGGGGGGGCGACGACGACGCCGAATAAAGTCGTCGGGGCGAGGGGGCGGTGCGCTGGGCTGGGCTGCTGGGGAGAAAGGGGAGGGGGGGGGCGACGACGACGCCGAAATGAAGTGGTCGGGGCGAAAGGGGTGGCGCGCTGGGCTGCTGGGGAGAGGGGGAGGGGGGGGGCGACGACGACGCCGAAATAAAATGGTCGGGGCGGAGGGGGCGGCGCGCTGGGCTGCTGAGGAGAAGGAGAGGGGGGGAGCGACGACGACGCCGAAATAAAGTCGTCGGGGCGGAGGAGGCGGTGCGCTGGGTTGCTGGGGAGCGACACATAGCGACACATGTCGACACATATCGACATATAGAGACAAGTATCGACACACACACACATATCGACGCATAGCGACACACAGCGACACATAGCGACGCACACATGGAGACGCATAGCGACACACAGCGACACAGACACATATAGCGACACATATAGCGGCACATGAAGGGCACAAGGCACACAGCGACACATATAGCGACACATGAAGGGCACAAGGCAGCTGAGGGGGAGCGACGACGACGCCGAAATAAAGTGGTCGGAGCTCTAGACACCCTGTGCAAGAGTATAAAGGGTCCAGGGCAAGGGGGACTGGGGCCAGGGCCGGGGGTGGGAGGCTGCGTCCAGGGCGAGCCAGGGCCAGCGGAGCGAGGGGGGCTGGGGCCAGAACCAGAGGGGGAGGTTGGGTCCAGGGCCAGGACCAGATCAGGGACGACGACGAACGAAAACAAGTGGCACGCGCGCCCTGGCTCTTGCACAAAGGAGCTGCGAAGGACAGGAGGCCCCCGCTTTCGTCTTCAGGAGGAGTTTACGAGGAGCCAGAAAGAAAGTGGAGGAGGAGGAGGACGACGACGACGAGGACAACAACGACGAAGACGACGACGACGACAGTCGTCGGCGGCGCCACGCCGCGCGGCTCTCCGCCCGCGGTCGCCGCCGCGGCGCCGCCGCGGGGGGGGGAGCAGTCCCGGGAGGCTCGGGGGAGGGGGGGCCGCGGCCCAGGGGAGCCAGAGGGGGCCCAGGTGGACGAACCACAACGACGAAAATAAAGGGGTTCGAGCTCTAGAACACAGCTTTGCAAGAGAATAAACGGTTCCGTGGCCCAGGGGGGCTGCCCTAGGAAGCCTGGACGGAGGGGGGCTCCCAAAGGCTCCCACGGGGGGGGGGCCAGAGGAGCTGGGTCTCAAGGGGAGGGGCCCAGGGGGACGAACGAACCACGACGAAAATAAAGATGTCCGAGCTCTAGAGCACAGCTGTGCAAGAGAATAAAGGCTTCGGCGGCCCAGGGGGGCTGCCCTGGGAGGCTCGGGGGGAGGCTCGGGGCAGGGGGATCCTGGGAGGCTTGGGGGGGGGGGGGGGTCAGGGACGACGAACCACGAACGAACCACGAAAATAAATGCTTCGGCGGCCCAGGGGGGCACCACGACGATAAAGGCTTGGATTCGGCGGCCCAGGGGGGCTGCCCTGGGAGGCCCTGGGAGGCTCGGGGGAGCTGCCCTGGGAGGCTCGGGGGGAGGCTCAGCGGCCCAGGGGGGCTGCCCTGGGAGGCTCGGGGGGGCTGCCCTGGGAAGCTCGGGGGGAGGCTCGGGGCAGGGGGATCCTGGGAGGCTCGGGGAGGGGGGGTCCAGGGACGACGAACCACGAACGAACCACGAAAATACAGGCTTCGGCGGCCCAGGGGGGCTGCCCTGGGAGGCTCGGGGGGAGGCTCGGGGCAGGGGGATCCTGGGAGGCTCGGGGGAGGGGGGGGTCCAGGGACGACGAACCACGAGCGAACCACGAAAATAAAGGCTTCGGCGGCCCAGGGGGGCTGCCCTGGGAGGCTCGGGGGGAGGCTCGGGGCAGGGGGATCCTGGGAGGCTCGGGGGAGGGGGGGGGTCCAGAGACGACGAACCACGAACGAACCACGAAAATAAAGAGGCCCGAGCTCTAGAGCACAGCTGTGCAAGAGAATAAAGGGTCCAGGGCGAGGGGGACTGAGGCCAGGGCCGGGGGGGGAGGCTGGGTCCAGGGCCAGGGCCAGCGGGGCGAGGGGGGCTGGGGCCAGGACCAGGGGGGGAGGTTGGGTCCAGGGCCAGGACCAGACCAGGGACGACGACGAACGAAAACAAAGAGGTCCGAGCTCTAGAGCACAACTGTGCAAGAGAATTAAGTCGAGCTAGAGTCGAACTGGACTCGGACAAACTCGCTGGGTGGGCATCGGCAAGGTCCCCAGAACGAGCACAGAACTGACACCACCCTCCCCCCATGGCGTGGGCGCGAGACGTCCCACGCGCGGCGGACGGCCTCTCAGGCCTTACCCTGGTATTTGCCGCGCTTCTGGTAGGCCTCGTTGAGGTCCCGGAACATCCCCGCGAGCGGCTCGCTGAGCCCCGCGTAGAGGCCCTGCTTGAGGTGCTCGGAGCCCTCGAGGCAGGCCAGCAGCGGCGTCATGCCCGCCTGGAGCGCCCCCGCGGCCTCCTTCCACAAGGAGGCCTCGCGGGGCCGCTGCTCCAAGCGCTCGTGCGGCTCCAGGCGCTGGAGGCACCGCTGCGCTGCAGCGTCCACGCCGGCCCACCGGCGCTGGTGCTCCAGTGCGTGCGCGATGATCATGATGACGAAGCCCTTCGTGGCGCGCTGCACCTTCCCCTGGTACATCGTCTGCCCCGTCCGCCCAGCCGACTGCGCCGTGAGGCGAGTGCCGCCCTGGCTGAACGCCTCCAGCAGGCGCGCAACGTCCGCGGCCGCGCCCGCCGCGGCCGCTCCCCTGGGCGCCGCGTAGACCCCCTCGAGCATTGATTTCAGGACGTCCACCACGACGTGCGGCGCCTGCGTCCACGCGGGAGGCCGCACGCCCTCGGGCGGGACCGCGTGGAAGAGCTCGGACATCAGGCTGTAGGCTGACGAGTGGAGCTCGGCGAAGCCCGTGGCGCCCGCCTGCAGTGCGGCCCGCGCCTGGGAGCCGGCCACGCGCAACAGCAGCGCCTCCGCGTCGGCGAGGGCCCTGTGCGGCCTTCGGCTCTTGCTCCCGCCGGCGCCCGCCCGCTGCAGGGGGGCCGCCAGGTGCGCGTGCAGGTGGCTGGCGCAGAGCGCGGCGCACTCCCGCAGCTCCAGGGCCCATTGCCAGCCAGCTTCCGCCGCGCGCTCGGGGCACACCGCGAGGAGCGCGTGGGCGGCCGCGAGCGCGGCCTCCACCGCGCGGGAGCCGAGGGTCGGCCTGCGCGGGACGCCCTGCAGCACCGTCGCCAGCGCTCGAGCAGTGCCGAGCAGAGGCGGCGCCGGAGCCGCCGCTGGGGGCGGCCCCTCCCACCGCGCGGCCTGCGACGCGGCGCGCTCGGCCAGGTACACGACGAGGCGCTGCCTGCGCGCGTGGCCGGCGCCGGCGCACAGCGCCGCCATGGGAGTGCCAGAGCCCGCGTGCTCTGCGTCGGGCGGCTCCCCGCCGCGGCGTAGGGTCCGACTCTGCAGCTCGCTCCACCGCGCCACGAGGGGCACCCACTCGCTATGCCAGAGCTCCTCGTCCTCGCCCTCGGGCCACGGCGCCGCGCACAGCGCGCGCACCAGCAGCCCGGCGCCGCGCAGCGGCTGTGCCCCCTCGGCGAGCCAACCTGGCGCGTCGGCCACCGCTGCGCCAGCCTGGCAGCGGAGCCAGGACACCAGCCCCAAGGCCAGGCCCACCAGCTGAGTGCGCTGGCTGCCGCCGCCGCCCGCGCCCTCGAACACCACCGCCCCGTCGGCCGCGCCCGCGTGCGCCACGGCGCTCGCCGCTACCTGCGCCAGCAGGCCCGCGCAGCGGCAGGCCGCGGGCGCGGGCGGTTCAGCGGCCTGCGCCAGCATGCCGCGCTGCGGCGGGACAGCCGGGTGTACCGCGCGGAACGCGCGCCACAAGGCCGAGTCGCGCTCGCGGCCCGCCCGCTCGCAAGGGCCCCACCCGTCAGTGCCGACGCTGGGCTCGAAGAGGGCCAGGAGCAGCTCGAGCGACCGCTCTGTCTGAGGGCTGCAGCCGCTCTGTCCAGAGAGGGCCCCCAGCGTGTCTGGCAGTCGCACCACGCAGTGGCCGCCTGCATCGTCGGCGTCGCCCCCTCCGGCGTGCACCTCGCAGGTGAGGCCTGGCGAGAGCAGCCCGTGCAGCAGCCCCGCGGCCCAGCGCTGCCGTGCGGGTTCTGGCCACCCGGGTAGGCGCTGGCGGCATAGCGTGTTCACCCCCTCGGCCAGCACCGTGGCCGTGGCGAGGCCGTCGCCACCTCCCAACACCCCGCTCGACAGCAGCTGCGCCACCGCCGGCACGACGCCCCCCGCGGGGCGCCTGGCCGGGCGCTTCCTCGCCGACGGCTGCAGGCTTTCACCAGAGAAGCGCGCGGCGGCCTCGCCAATGGCCGCCTCGCGGCTCTCGGGCGCGTCCATGGCCAACATCTTCGACAGCTGCCCGAGGCAGCGCAGGGCAGCCTGGAGCAGAGCGGTGGCCCGGCCCCCGCCGCCTCCGCGCGGCCCCCCGCCGCCACTCATCGTGGCGCGGCCCGCGCCGCCGGTGTGCGGCTCCCCGCCGAACTCCGCCAGCGAGGCACGGCTCGCGACTCCTGGCCCCGCGTCGAGCGCGTGCGTCGCGGCCTCCACGGCAACCTGCGAAACAACCCGGAATGCCTGCGCCAGCACGTCAGCCGGCGAACCCGCGAACGGCGCCGAGATCAGCTCCAGCAGTGCGAGGTGCAAGCCATGCAGTGCCCCACCCTGCTCAGCGAAGGCGTCCGGCGCCGCCGCCGCCGTGGCGATGAGCTCAGCGAGGCGGGCCAGCAGTGGGGCGCGCAGCTCGGGGCGCTGCGCGAGCGCCTCCCCCCCTTCCGCCCAGATCTGGGCGGCGGGCATCCAGGCGTCAGCTGGACATGCCTGCGGCCCAGCTGCCGAGGCTGAGCCCAGCAAGTGTTGCCAGCACGCCGGCTCGCGGGGGGCGACCACTGAGGCCAGCTGGGCCATAGGATCCGGAGCACAGCCGTCGCAACCGCGCTGGCGCTGCAGACCCCTGGCTGCGAGCGTGGTCAACAGAGGAAGCCGCTCGCAAACCTCCCGGCGAGCCGCCAGCCAGGCCTCCTGCGCCGACGCTTCCACATCGCCCGCCTCTCGGGCCGCGAGTCCCACGAGCTGCCCCAGCACAGAGGTTCTGAGCTTGTGCCCCCGGCGGGCGTCCGAGTGCCTGGCGAGGCGGTCTTCGCAGAGCGCCAGCCACATCCCAGCGGCGCACACGGGTGCCCTGGCGAGATCGGTCACCTCGACGCTCGTGGCCCTTTGCGCCAGCATTCGGAGGTTGCTCTCGACCTGGTCGGCGAGGTCTTGCTTGCCGCTCTCACGCTCCTCTCGGCTACACGCAGGACTGACCCTGGGCAAGATTGACCTTTGGTGCGCGGCTTCCGGGAGGGCTGCAAGGGGCCAAATCTAAACGCGCAAGCCAGTGCTGAGAGACCCCTGCGAGCGTGCACCAAAGATCACTCTGGCGAAGGGTCACTCTAACGCGTAACTAGAGGCCTCCCAAATGGGGTCCGAGCAGATGGGGTCCGCATCGCCCATACATCGGCGATGCATCGGCGATGCATCGGCGGTGTCGACGACGCATCGGCGCCGTCAGCGTGGAGAAAATCGGGCTCCGCATCGAGTCGCATCGGCGATGCGGCGCGCTCCGACCCCATCTGGGAGGCCTAGAGTAACCGATCATCCTCCTCCTCCTCCTCCTCGGGCACTGCTGCGCCAGCGCTGCCTGCGAGAGGTCGCAGGGCAACGGGCACCTCCCAGGACTCAAGCCGGCGGCCCAGGTCGCACAGCGCGAGCAGCAGGCCGTCCAGCCCTGGCGGCCGGTGGCCACCGCCAGGCGAGCCGACCACCGAGAAGGACTTCAGGAGCAGCAGCCGGAGGGCCCGCAGCGAGCGCTCGGACGGCCGGACGCCCTGCACGACGTGCTGCAGCAGCGCCGCCACCCACGCCGCGCCCGAGGCGCCGCCGGCGGTCTGGGCCACGCCGCCCGTCGCGAGCGCACTCTGGAGCTCGTCGAGCAGCGACTCCCACACCCGCGTCGCCTGCGTCGCGGCGGACCCCACGGACACGTCGGCGACCAGCTCCCGCAGGCCGTCCAGGAGGGCCTGGTGCCCCACCAGCCGCGCCGCTCGCTTGGCCGCGCCCCCGCGCGCAGCGCGCACGAGCGCGTCCAGGCAGGAGGGCAGGTCGGCCAGCTCCCCGTACGTGCGCAGCAGCGCCCGGGCCAGGCGCACGCAGTGCGGCTCCAGCGCGGCCCCGCCGCCCTTCTCCCTGGCCGGCGGGCACAGCTCCAAGACCGTGCCCCACGCCGCCTCGAGCCGCGGCTCGAACGGCGAGGGGTCCAGCCGCAGGGCCTCGACGAGCCCGTGCCACTCCGGCGCCTCTCGCGCCGCCTCGCGGCCCAGCGCCGAGAGGCGCCGCAGCATCAGCGCGCAGAACGAGTCCAGGCTCTCGGCCTGCAGCCTCTTGGGGTCCTCGCGAGGGCGGTATGCCCCGAGACGCCTCACGTGGCCCCACAGGTCAACGAGGCAGCGCGCGAGCAGGACCTCCTCGTCGCCTTCGCCCGCGCAGGCATCGAGTGCACTCGCGACCGCGCGGGACAGCTGCAGGAATACCCAAAACTCGCAGGGCACCGCCGGCTGCTTCGCCTGGACGGCCTCCTTCCGCCCCTGCGCGCCCTCTTGGACAGGCAAGTCGGGGTCCTGCGCAGAAGCACGGGCGCGGTATCGGCAGGCGAACTCCGCGAGGAGACAGGGCAAGAGCAGTGCGCAGCCTGCGCGGGTAGGTCCGGGCTTGGCGAGCAGATCGGAGACACATTCGAAGAGGCCAGCCTGCCAGCTGCACGCAAGCGTGACCGTAGGCCAGAGTGACCTTTGGTGCGCGGCTTCTGGGAGGGCGCGACAGGGCCAGAACCAAGCGCGCAAGCCGCTGCTGTTGCATCTCGTTCAGCGATCGGGGAGTCCTCCGGAGAAGGGTCGCTCTTACGTGTAGTCGAGCCTGGTAAGCAGCACCAGCGTCCGCGCCAGCGGCGCCCCCCTCGTCCTCGCCCTGCGGCGCCCGACGCGCGCGCTTGCGTGCGGGCTCCCCCTCGGCTGCCCCGCGCCCAGGAGCCGGGTGGTCCCCGCGGGAGAGGGCCTCTGAGCATCGCTCCACCAGTCCCCACGCCCACTGGCGTGGCCTTGGTCCCACTGGCCGACGTGCTCTTCCTTGCGGGTCTCGAGGGGCTTGTCCCCAGCTGCGGTGGTGGGATGGTGGGACCGCGACACCACGACTCGGTGGGGATGGGGCTTAGGTTAAACGATACTGAGCCTTGGAGGCGGCCAGGGGTCTGAACTGATTGGGGCAGCAGAAAATCGAACGGGAGGGAGGAAGAGGCCATATCCGCTCTAAATTACTCCCTGGACCCCTCCCCGGGGTCCTTCGGGTGCATGTAAACTGAAAACGCAGGTCTGGCGCGAGACGTTCGAAAAAGCGTGGCCCAACACGTGCCGAGACCACACGCAGCGTGTTAACACGAACGTTTTGAACACGCACGCGCTGCGTTTCAGCACGGGCGTATTAGGGCAGCTAGGGCGGGCCTCGAAGCCCTCCAGGTGCCGCTCCTAGAGGAACAAACAATGACAGAAACATAAGCTTTCGGAGGTCCACGCGAATTTCTCGGATCGGCGCTGAGGCCCCCTGGCAGCGCCTCCAGTGCCGCCCTTGGTGCGCTCCGCGCGCCAGAGAGGAGGCGCCAGTGCCGAACAGACGAATCCGCGCGGACCTCCGACAGCTCATGACGACGACGACGACGACGACGACGACGACGACGACGAAGACGACGACGACGACGAGGACGACGACGACGAGGACGACGACAACGACGACGACGACAATGACGACGACGACGACGACGACGACGACGACGACGACGACGACGCTGACGCTGACGCTAACGCTGACGCTGACGCCGACGCCGACGTCGTCCGCAGCACTGGTCCTCCTCCTCCTCCTCCTCCTTCTCCTCCTCCTTCTCCTCCTCCTCCACCTCCTCCTCCTCATCTTCCTCCTCCTCCTCGTCCTCCTCCTCGTCCTCCTCCTTCTCCTCCTCCTCCTTCTCCTACTCCTCCCCCGCCTCCTCCCTCTCCTCCTTCTTCTCCTCCTCCTCCTCCTCCTCCTTCTCCTCCCCTCCCCCTCCTCCTCCCCCTCCTCGTCCTCCTGCTCCTCATCCTCCATTTCCTCCTCCCCCTCCTCCTCCTCCTTCTCATCCTCCTCCTCCTCTTCCTCCTCCTCCTCCTGCTCCTCCTCCTCCTCCTCCTCCACTTCCCCACCCCCCTCCGCCCCTTCCTCCCCCCTCTGCCGTCCCACCGACGCCGACGCTCCTCGAACACTGCCTGCGCCAGCGCGCGCACGGCGCCCGCCGCCGCCAGCCAGCCCGCGTGCGGCGCCTCCAGCGCGGCCGTGGGCAGCTCGGGGGCCTCGGGCGGCGCGCGCCCCAGCAGCGCCGCGGCAGCGGGGAGTGCGGCGAGCACGCCCCGGAAGGCCTTCTTCGCCTGAGGCGAGGCCAGGACAAGGACGACACCTTGGCAAGATAAGTCCCACCAGCCCTTTGGGCCAGGCTGGGCGAACGGTATCTGCCTGTCCTCTTCCAAAAGCCCTCTTCCCTTCGGGGAGGGGTGCCCTCTCCCTCACCGAGGTTTTTTTTGGGGGGGGGGTCCGGCACGCCCCAGGAGGCCTTCTTCACCTGAGCACGAGGGCCAGGGCAGGGACGAAACCGGGGCAGGAGAAGTCCCACCAGCCCGTTGTTGGCGGCAACGGAGGGGGGGGAAGCGAGAAGCAGAAGGCCTTCTCAGAAGGCGGCGGGGCATCTCTGAAGCCCTCGGGCCTTCTGAGAGGATTTTGTTTTCTTCCGGGAGGCTCCGGGAACCTCTCAGAAGGCCAGGGGACTTCCGAGCCTTCTGAGAAGGCCCGTCCCTTCTCACTTCCCCCCTCGCTCGCCGCCGACTTTGGGCTAGGGTGGGCGAACGGTATCTGTGTTTCCTCTTCCAAGAACCCTCTTCCTTCGGGGAGGGGTGCCCTCCCCCTCCCCTCCCTGAGGCTTTTGGGGGGTCCGCGATGCGTCAGGGTGTCCGTGTTCGTCCAAGATGGCTCCCAGAGGGCCTCCTATGCTCCAAGATGGCCTCCAGATCGGCTCAAGATAGCAGAAGATGGTTCAAAATAGATTCCGGCATACCTCCCCAAGTCCCGACGAGGGCCGCAAAACGGCTCCAAACGCTCTCGGAGCCCCCATCAAGACCTCCCCAGCAGGACAAAATAAGTTTAAAAACGTATGGAAATATAGGATGTGTGTCTTCTCGTCTTTTCGCTTCCGATGTGCTTTTGAAGCCTGAAGATGGCCCCATGAGAGCCCAGAGATGGGTCCAAGAGGCCCACAAGACGGCCCCAGGAGCGTCCAAGATCGCCCCAAGAGCGCCCCAAGAGGGCCTCAAGGGGCGATTTCGAGGGCCCCAGAAGGGGGACCAAACGTTATGACCCCTTTCTTTGCACCGACGCCCTCCACGATAGCCCTTTGAGGCCCTCCAGGGCTCTCAAGAGGCCCACAAAGAGAGCCCCAAGAGCGCCCCAAGAAGGCCCCAAGAGGCCCCGTGATCCCCCAAAAAGCTCTAAGAGGATCCCAAGACCCCTCAAAAGAGCCCCATGAGGGCTCCAAGAGTCGATTTTGAGGACTCTGCTCTTGTCCTCGTTGTCCTCCTCCTCCTCCTCCTCCTCCTCCTCCTCCTCCTCCTCCTCCTCATCCTCGTCCTTGCCGTCATCGTATTCCTGTTCCTTTTCCTCCACTTCCTCGTCGTCGTGGTCGTCGCCGTCTTCTTGTAGCTTTTCTTACTCGTAGCAGTAGTATACTCATGCTTACTCTTATGTGTAAAAGTATTCTTCTTAATAAGATAAATTTTAGTGTTCTTATTCTCCTCCTAAACAATAGTGTTCTTCTTATTAGTACTATTATTCGTATTCGTAGCATCGTTGTTATCATTACTACATTTGTTTTCCTCCTTCTCCTCCTCCTCCATCATCACCACCATCACCACCATCACCACCATCAGCAGCATCATCATCATCCTCCTTCCCTCGCCCGCACGCGGGTCCAGAGATGGCCCGACGAGGCCCTCTAAGGCCACCCCCTTTCCATAGATCTCTCTGTTCACCCTGATTACCCGCTGTGTGTCACTATGTGCATGTATGCGTCTCTTTGTCCCGTTTCCAGTCAACTCTCATGAGCAGAGTTTTATCAAACATCAAGACCCCCATGACGCGATGCCAACGGTAGAGATGCGACTATGCTCATGGGCAGGGTTTCTGAATGGGGTGGTACGGAGATGCGAAGCGTGAAGACTTTCCCAAACACATAGATTGCTCCACATAGCTCACACCACATAGATGAGCACGTTAGCTCCACATAGGTTGCACGACACAGCTCTCACCACATAGATTTCATGTCATATATTGCACAACCTAGATTACACCACACAGTATGCAACAACACTCCGCTTGAGGTTCACGCTGGTTAACATCGGGGATCTCTGAGATCCAGCGGTCCTGGAGGATACATCGAGCGCCGCGGCCGTTCCAGAGCATTCCAGAATGCTTGGAGCGCGCTCGAGGAACGCTCCGAAACTAGACATCTCCGCCCTAGCTGGCTACACGCAACAGTTTCCCCAGGCAAGAACGACCTTTGGTGCGCGGCTTTCGGGGGGGCGCGGGGAGGCGGACAAACCCGGCCGCGCAAGCCGCTGCTATCGCGTCGCGTTCAGCCATCTGGGGACTCTGGTGCGCCCGCACCACAGGTCGCTCCGGCGAAAGGTCACTCTTGCGTGCAGCCGACCTGGCCCCGCCCGATCGCCTGCACCTGCTGCAGAGCCCGGATGAGTAGGCGCGCCGCGCGGGCCACGAACAGCGGCAGCTCGGCCGGCGGCACCGCGGGCGCCCTGTCCGCGAGCAGGGCGGCAGCGCCGGCGAAGAGCGGCGCCGCCTGCTCCACGGGCGCGTGGAAGCTCCGCGCCGGCCGCTCCAGCAGCAGGGAGATGGCCTGCAGGTGCTGGTCGCACGGGAGCGCGCCTCACGAGCGGCAAACATATCCGTGTCCGCGCCCTCGCGGCCTGGACACCGGGGCACGATCCCGCGGATACGCGGTCGCACGGATGCGCTTCACGCGGGGCATCCGCGAGAAGACGCCCCGGCTCCACGTGGGCACGGCCCAAGGGCCCGGCCCCCGAGGCCGCGGATGCGGGTATGGCTTTCGCCCACGAGCGCCCGCGCCAACGGCGCTGTGGAGCTGCGCCATCAAGAAGGGCAGGAAGGACCCCAAGGGATACTCCCGCGGCAGGGCCCGCAGTAGGTCGCACAGAAGCCGCAGGCCGTCGCCCTGAAGCACGAACTTCTTCTGCGCCGCCCCGGCACCTCTGGCGAGCCACTCGAAGAGCCACGCAGCCGCGCTCGGCCCGGGCGGGTCCCCCGGGTCCGACAGCAGCCTGAGGGCCGCGCGGATCCTTTCCTCCAGCGACAGCTGCTGCTCGTGCAGCCTGCCCCAGAGCACCGCTGGGACCAGCGCTTCCTCGCCATTGGCCGCCATGGCGCCAGTCCACGCGCCACGCGCGCGGCGGCTGTCGTCGTTGCGCCAGCCCCGCGCAGCTGCGTGCCCCAGCGGCAAGGGCGACGGGAGAGGGCAGGAGGAGCCAAGCTGGCGGAGCCAAACGCGCACACGACGAATGTGTCTGCTTCGAGCGATACCCACCAGGGAGCTACAGTCGATCAAAATATGTACTTTTCATGTGCGTGATGGACGTACGACATAAACGTGTGCCACGGATACGTGGTACTAATGCCTAGCCTTGCTGTATGATCTCGGCGCATGCTCTGTATCACTGTTCCTGATGCGTGTTGTCAGTGTATGTGTGTGTTACTGATGTCTAGTATGGGCGTATGTTTGGCGTATGTGTATAAACATCTAAAACGGTGATGCGTGATATTGATAGCTGCTAGTAATGTATACGGCTAGTGCGTGCGATTGTTGTAGTTTGCAGATGTGGGCTATGGATGTATGCTACTGGTGTATATGATTGGTGTATGGTGATGTTGTATGACACTGACGCATGCGAATGGTGTAACTTATTGGCGCGTGTTGAGTATCAATGGTACTAGCGCCTGCTGTTGATGCGTGCGTCTGGTGCATGCTATAGATGTATGGTATGAGCGTTGTTTGCTGGTGCATGCGGTTTGTGTATTTACCGGGGACGGTTAGCGATGCATGTTACTGTTGTCTGATACTGGCGCATGGTATTGATGCATGTTGTGGGCGTGAGCTGGTGATGCGTGTTGCTAGTGCACGCATTGGTGGCGGTCACTATTGCATGCTAACGTTGTATTATGCTGGTGTGTGCTACTGATGCCCGTCCTCGATATCTGTTACTGGCGTGTGCTGCTGGTACATGTTCGTGATGTGTGGTGTTAACAGTTTTGGTGGATGCGTGTCCTTGGTGCATGCTCATGACACATGCTGGTGAGGTATGTTGGTGGTGTGTCACTGGTGCCTGTGTTTGAAGCATGTTCTTGATGTGTCTTGGTGGGGTATGTTGCCAGGGACCACCCAGAGTCTTGGGGCCTGGAGGCCAGGGTAAGCAGGGCGGGCGAGGCGGGATACCCAGGAACCACGCGGAGACTTGGCGCCTCGCGACGGGAGTATACAGGGCTGGGGAGGCGGGATACCTGGATGCATCCAGACTGGACGTACTTTTTAGATGGAAGACTGGAATACTGTGTCAAAGGTCCAGGGCGGCCAGATCAGCAGATCGCCAGATCACTGGATCACCAAATGAGTAATCCAGCCCGGATGGATCACTGTATCACTAGAACAGCGGATCAAATCCAGCCAAGCTGGATCACCAGATCACCGGATCACAGGATCAGTGATCCAGGGCGGCCAGATCACCGGACTACCGAATCAATCGGCCTGATCCAGCCCATCCAGATCACTGGATCACCAGATCGCCCGATCAGTGCTCAAAGGCGGCTGGATCAATGGATCACTGGATCAGTGATCCAGGGCGGCCGGATCACTGGATCACCCGATCAGGCCCGATCAACAGATCACCGGATCAGTGATCCAGAGCGGCCAGATCACGAGACACTGGATCACCAGATCAGTGATCCAGCCTGGCCAGATCACAAGGTCACCGGATCAGTGTTTCAGGGCTGCCGGATCACCGCATCACCGGACGCGATCCAGGGCGGCCGGACCACGAGATCACCGAATCACTGGATCAATGATCCAAGGCGGCCAGATCACCAGATGACCGGATCAGTGATCCAAAGCGGCCGACTCACCAGATCACCTGATCAGTGACCGCTGGGCGGCTGGATCGGATGACCGGATAAGTGATCCAGCCCGGCCGGATCACTGAATCACCAGATCAGTGATCAAGCCTGGCCAGATCACCAGATCACCAGATCACTTTCAACCAAGCCAGATCACCAAATCACTGGATCAGGGATCCAGCCCATCCTGATCACAAGGTCATCCGGAATGGTGATCCAGTGCGGCCAGCTCACGGGATCACCAGATCAGTGATCAAAGGCGACCACATCACCGAATCAGTGATTCAGGTCGGCCAGATCACCAGATCACCCGATCAGTGATCCAGAGCGGCCGGATCACCGGATCAATATCGCAAGGGCGGCTGGATCACCAGATCACCGAATCACCGGATCAGTGATCCAAAGCGGCCAAATCACCAGATCACAACGTCAGTGATCCAGCCCGGCCAGATCACCAGATCAGACCGAGCTCAGCCAGATCACTGGATCACTGGATCACCGAATCAGTGATCCAGGGAGGCGGGATCACCGGATCACCGGATCAGGGGTTCAGTGATCCAGGTCGGCCAGGTCACCGGATCACCTGATCACTAGATCAGTAATCCAGCCCAGCGGGAACACTGAATCTCTGGATCAGTAATCCACAGCGGCCGGATCAACAAATCACCAGATGAGTGATCTAATTAGAGCGGACGGATCACCGGATCACCTGATAAGTGATCCAGGGCGGCAAAATCACTGGATCACCAGATCACTGGGTCCGGCAAGATCACTGGATCACCAGATCTGAATCCAGCCGAGCTGGATCACCGAATCACCGGATCACTGGATCAGTGATCCAGGGCGGCTGGATCACCAGATCACCAATTTATAATCCAGCCCATCTGGATCATCAAATCACCGAGTGATCAATGATCCAGGGCGGCTGGATCAACCGATCACCAAATCGGTGATCCAGACCAGCTGGCTCACCGGATCACTGGAGGAGTGATCCAGTGATCCAAGGCGGCCGGCACCAAAGATCAATAGATCAATGCTCCACGACGGCCAGATCACCAGATCACTAGATCACCAAATCAACAGATCAGTGATCCAGCCCAACACGATCAACGCATCACCAGATCAGTGAGTGGGTCAGTGATCCAGGGTGGCAGTGATCCAGGGCGGCCAGATAGTCACCAGATCACTGAATCCGTGATCCAGAGCAGCCAGATCACCAGATCACCAGATCAATGAATCAGTGATCCGGCCCAGCCAGATCATGGGATCACCAAATCACCGGATCAGTGAACCAGAGCGGCTGGATCACAGGATCATTGCATCACCAGATCAGTGATCCAGAGCGGTCGAATCACCAGCCAGATCACCAGATTAGTGACCCAGCGTCCAAATCACTGGATCACCGGATCAGTATCCAGGCAAGCCAGATCACCGGATCACTGGGATCGCCGGACCCAGAATCCATGAGGCATATCACTAAATCACCAGATCACCAGATCAGTTCCAAGTCGGCTGGGTCACCAGATCACCCGATCAGTAATCCAGAGCGGCTGGATCACCAGATCTACGGATCACAAGGTGGTCCAGAGCAGGTGGATCACCGGATCACCGAAACAATGATCCAGAGCGGTCAGATCACCAGATCACCAGATCACCAGGTCAGTGATCCAGCCAGGCCAGATCGCAGATCACTGAATCAATGGAACAGTGATCCAGGGCGACCCGATCACTAGATCTCTGCATCACCAGATCAGTGATCCTGCCCAGCCTGATTTAGTGGATTGCCGAATAACCAGATCACTGGATCAGTGATCCAGCCCAGCCAGATCACCCGATCACTGGACCACCAGATCAGTGATCAAGCCCAGTCTGAGCACTGGATCACCAGATCACCTGATCAAAGATCCAGAGCGGCCTAATCACCAGGTAACCAGATCACCCGATCAGTCGACCGAAAACCCAGATCACCAGACATCATCGGATCCCTGGATCACGCGGCCGGATCACCCGATCACCCGATAACCAAAAATCACCAGAACACGCGGCAAGATCACCAGATCATCAGAGCTGGGGTCCGGATCCCCGGATCAGGCAGACGGATCACTGGATCACCAGATCACCCGATCACCAGACCATTGATCACCAGATCAACGGATCACGCGGCTGGACCAATCGTCGGATCAAAGAACCCGAAGACTGGACTGGATCTTCGATCACTGGATCACCGGATCACGCGGCATGATCACCAGATCAGTAGATTACTGCATCACCAGATCAACGGATCAAGCAGCTGGATCACCTGATGACCAGATCAGGGGGCCGGATCACTGGATCACCGAGTCACAGGTTCACTGGATCACGCGCCCGGATCACCGGATCACCCGATCACTGGATCACCGGATCATCGGCTATGGCAGCTGGATCACTGAATCACGCCACCGGGGACCACCCAGAGCGGCCACGGCATACAGGGCTGACGAGGCGGCACGGGAACACTTGTCTTCAATATCTGACCAACCAAACCAGTCGGGTGGGGGCCAAGCAAAAAAAAAAACAATAGCACCTAGGTATGTGTGACTCTTCCACGGTATCGCCTGAGAGTTCGTTCGCCCTGCAAGTACCGACCCGAGCACCACGGAAGCGGCACACTGAAATCCCCCTGTGCATGAACAGGCTCAAGAGGAGGAGGCGAAGGAGGAAACGGCAGCATCCTTGATTGGGCAGACTGCCATCAGCGTCGACGTCTGGCCGAGGCAGGGGAGGAAGAGCAGCAGTAAGTAAGACCCCCGGCGTCGGGATGCAGATCACCCCGCATGGCCCGAGGGCACCGCCCGTGGCGCCCTTGCCCTTCTTGGGCGGCGGCCACTCCTGCGGCGGCGGCGCGCCCTCCAGGGAGGCTCTCGGGACGCAGGAGGGCAGACCAGCACTGTGCGTCCTCCTCGGTGGGAAGGCCCGAGCCTGGCCATGCCATACACTCGGATGACCACTGGGGTTGCTTAGGGGATGGGGAGCTTCGAAGTGGATGCTACTGGGACGCGCAGAGAAATACTAACACTATATGTCCTCCTTGGAGGCGCGCGTCCGACCCGAACATGTAGCATACCCATCCTGTAGTAGATCGTTTTCCGAGCGGTGTGGTCAGAAAGGGTCCGCCACGACGCATATACTATAAGATTTCTAGGTGCGCGCGTCGCCCCTGGGGGGACGACGCACATATAGCATAAATATGTTGGGGTGCCGCCGAGCTACGGTGGGTTCGATCTGGCCTGACCCAGCTCATCGGTGGGTTACAGGTGCCCCAAGTGGTCTAGGGGGGTGAACGATCCGGGCTCAGTGGGCCCCGCCCACCCTAGCGGAGTTGTCGAACCCCCAGACCATCCAGGGCACCAGTAACCCGCTTATCAGCCAGGTTAGGGCAGATATGGCCAACCTGAGTATCCACTTCTAACCCCCCTATCCCCTTAGCATTATTTAGTGCAGGAATCGCTAGGGATCGGTTTCCTTGTAAAACAGCCGAAACCTGCCCGAAACCCGCGAAATCCCTCCTGGAAAGGCTCTGGGAAGCTTCCCGGAGGGATTCGGAAGGGGTTCGGAAGGCTTTTCGTCGTTTGGGGGGGAACCAATCCCTAGCGAACCAAGGCATTCTAACCTTAGCACCCCCCGCGGTATCCCAGACGCACAACAACATGATCGTAGGTCGCTACCCCGGCGGCATGGCCAGAAAGCGCCCGCCACCAGCCACCGAGCAGGTAACTATACGATCTCTGAGCGCACGTCGCTCCTTTGAGGGCCGACGCGCACATAGCATTAAGTCGGGCCTGTCCCCCTACAGGAGGAATATAAAAAACTATGGGGACGATTTTTAGTATGTTTGAATATTTTGAACATTGTTGACTATCTTGATTTTACATAAATACACAGCATCACAGCCAAAAGGATGATAAAGACGACTGTCCCTTGAGAAATCCGGGCCAGCTTCCCAAAGGTTTCCTAAGACAAGCCTGGGCCAAGTTCTGCTGTGAACGCTGGAAGGGCGGACGTGCTCAGGAAACTGGGCCAGCTTCCGGGCAAGCTGGATAGGAAGCGCTGGCCTAACTCTTCGGGAGGAGGATCCATCATCGGCTGCTCGACTGCAGCATGTTTCGGGGGCGGCCAAGAGGGGGGGTGCAAATCATGGCGGGCGGCATGTGCGCGGCCCAGGGGGGGGGCCAGGAACGTAATGAAATAAGAAGAGGCGCCATGAGATCTGGGGAGATATCATGGCCCCCGCCAAGATATCCCCCCCCAGTCATCACCCCCCTCTTGGCCGCCCCCGAATGTTTCGCCTGCCTCTGGCAGGCAGGGAGCCTGGAGAGGGTAGGCATCGCCCTGCCGTCCGAGGATGCGGCGCCCACCGCCTGAGTGCGAGCATCGGTCTGTGAGCGACAGGTTGCGCGGCAGGTTCGCGTCGCGACGTCGCGGGCGTCGGCTTCTGCCGCCGAGTGGATCGTTCCGCCTTTTGAAGGATCGCGGCTTCGAGATATCGCCGATCTGTCGATGTCGGCCGACTCTGGGCCACTGGCGGCGTTCAGGCTCGAACTCCTGAACTGGCGTCGCCGCCGCGTCAACACAGCAAGACCGCAGGATCGGTCAACGTCGGTCCGGAAAATCGGGTCGCATCGGAACAGAACGTGCGTCGGATCGGGCTGCATGAATCGGCACGGGGTCGGAGTCGAATCGGATCGGCTGCGCCAAAATGCACGACAGAACCATTCCAGCATCGGATTGGATCGGACCGTCGGAAAATCAGAATCAAATCGCACTGAGCCGGCCGAAATCAATATCGAATCGAATCGATCGGGTCGACATGGACCAAGGCAGCGAGTAGGGATAGCCACTTGTTGGCCCTGGGAGGAAGAGGCATATCCAAAGTAGCCACTCCCTGAGACTGTAGGGCGCACTCGGCGACAGCAGACGTGATGCTCTGGTCTCAGACACTTGGCCTCCGCATGTCTAGACCCTCGCTCAACAGGTCTTGTCTCTGGCCCTCGACGTGCAAACCGACAAATTCGCCACCGTGCCCACTGGCACGCTGAGGCGTGGTAGAATGCCGAGTACTGTCTGGTAGGGTTGCTGTAGTTTTCGAAATTCGGTCAACTACAATCAACCCGTATTATAAGGACGCACAGTAAGGATGCAAGGGCCTTGGAAGTCCACGTCGACACTGTGCGGGCGGGGCGCGGTCAGCGAAAGCGGCCAAGGATGGGCCGAAGGGGAAGGAGGCACGGGTAACCTTGGAAAGTCGCTCACATCCTTACTATGCGGGTTGACTGTATCTTCGCGCCTCGCGCTCCGCGCAGCCAGGGAGCCCACAAAGGACGTACACGCCCAGCTATGTACATGAACACGGCCCCGTGACCCGCGAGACCTGCCGCGTGATAAGAACATTCGCGCAATGCGAATTCTCGAAACCAGCGTGGATTCATGTACGTGTACGTCCTTCTTTCGCTCCTGAGCAGCGAGAAGCGCGAAGCGCGATCATCTTCGCGCCTTGGCGCCGCCCCATCGGGGCACAGGACGAGGGACTCGCGCCTCGCCCTGAAGTCGCCCAGACCGCGAAGCGCGAGGCGCAACCAAACCCTCGTGGTGGCCCTGGGCTCCCTCTCCCCACACCCGCGGTTCGGGCACGCGACGGGAGGAAGAGAAGGGAGAGGAGGAGGAGGGAGGAGGGAGGAGGGAGGAGGGAGGAGGGAGGAGGGAGGAGGGAGGAGAGGAGGAGGAGGAGGAGGGAGGAGGAGGAGGAGGAGGAGGAGGAGCAGGGGGGGGGGAGGGACGATCCAAGCTGGATGCAAGCAGTGCGACAGCCTTGCAGGCCACCGAGGTTCCCCGGGCGCCCCGACACCTCTCCTGGCGCTCTCTGGGGCTCTCCCGGGGTGCCCACAACGTGGCCTCCACGACGGCCCAGGCAGACCACCAGGGCCCCCCAGCAGGGCCCCAGAGGCCAACAAGACGGCCCAGGAGGGCCCCAAGACGGCACAACATGGCCTCAAGACGGCCCAGGAGGCCCCCAAGACTGCCCAAGTCGGCTCCAGGAGGACCTCCAGGAGGGCCCGGAGCAATAACATTCCTTGATGCTCCTATAGCTCTGCATGGGTGTCCCTCTAGCGTTCTCATGTCATCACCTTGTCGGGGGTCCGTCGGCCCCAGACGGCTTCAGAGGCCGCCAAGACGAGCTCAAGACGAACTCTAGACGGCACAGGAAGGCCCCAAGATGGCCAAAGAAGCCCCCAAGACGGCCCCAACAAACGGCCCCGAAGCAGGTCAGTAGACGTCCAGGACCCCAAGAAGGCCCCAAGACGGCTTGGAGGGACACCCCAGCGATGGACGCTGAAGGCGCCGGACGGCCCCAGAGCGCCACGAGACGGCGCGAGAGGCCCCAGGAGTTCCCGGGGAGCCCCCATCGACACCCCTGGGACGCCCCAAGGGGCCCCAACAGGCCGCTAGGAGGGCCCCCCGCAAGCCCCTGGAGGAGCGAAGGAAAGCAAGAGAGGAAGACAACTTCGAAAGCGGCAAAGCCTCAGTATTGGGGTTTAGGCTGCTTGCACCACATCAAAGCCGCTGGGGAACTGAGAGGGATCGACCGTTCTGCTTGGATGCCACATCTTCAGCCACGATCGCCTTCTCTCGCGTGAAGTCGAAAGCCGGATATTCCACATGGGGCCCAAGACCGAGGCGGAGGGTTGGGCACAGAAGGGCAACAGCTCTCCGACGACAAGTCTGGGACACTTGAAGTAGTAAACGATGCTATCTGGACGCTCGCTGATTCCGAACATACAGCAGCATAATGTGCCTGTAACGTGCATTCTGCCCGTGGTCGTCCACCCCCGCGCAGCTGTCCAGCGAACGGAGGGGGGAGCCTGACTCAGGATTGCCCGCACCAGGTTCCATTCCTCGCGGAACTGAGGGGGGTATGACTGTCGAACCGCGAGCGCAAACGGCGTCCCATGAGCATCTCTAGCGTATCAGGGGGGTTCTCTCAAACGATGTTTTTCTTATACAAAAAAACACGCAACAGGTCACCTGAGTGAGTCCACCGCCGAAATCGATGGACCTTACAAATCCGTGGTCAAGTGCCGTCGTCACGGAAGTGCCGAGGAAACTCGAGGAAGAGACGGGCAAGGAGAAGAAAAAGGAGGATGGGAAGGAGGAACAAGAAGGAGGAGGAGGAGGAGGAGGAGGAGGAGCAAAGGCACTGCGCGGCTATCCCCTGCGCCCCGCGCGGCCACCTGTGTAAAGCAAAGGCGCACAACGGCATCCCGGAAGGGAAGAGAGAGGCAGGGAGGGGACGACAGGCTGCAGCGTGGGCGGCACATGCAACATTGTGGAAAATGCGCCCACAACCATATCAGCGAAACAATGGAATTGAAGAAGAAGAAGAACAAAAAAAAAACAAAAAAAACGGGAGCAAGAGACACATAGAGTCCCTGTTGCGACAATCCACCAAGAGAAAGAAGTACGACTGCTGGCTCTGAATCCGGCCGATATCGTGATATCGGGGTGCCGAAAGGATGGGCTGTGAGCATACCTCGGGCCTGTCTCTCAGCAGAAACCCTGAACACAACACGGCAGCGACGAGAAAGTGCACTGCAAGCAACACGGATAAGAGGAAGATGGACACGATCGGGATGATGTACTCAGGGTGGGTGGGACAGAGAGAGAGAGAAAAAAAAAAAAAAAAAAAAAAAAAAGAGAGAGATATGCCCAACGCGCACGCGGCGGCCTCCCAATCGTAGGCCAAACGGTGGCCGACCAGCCAGGAACAGACGAACTCTGGGGGAAGGAGGAGGTATCTGCCATCTTGGAAGGATGGGTGGGGGGGAAGAGAGAGAGAGAGAGAGAGGGCCCAACACACCCGCGCAATCCATCGGACGGCGTGGTTCCCACGGGGTGGGATGTCTCCCGTTGGTCAGAAGGTCTTGCTAATGATACGCACAGGGCAGAGCCAGGGGTCTCAGGGGCACGAAACGCTCTGTGGGGTACTTCAGACCTAAGACTTAGAAGGTGGTGCCGACTTAGGAGGAGATGGGGAGGAGGAAGGATCGGTGGCCAAGGGGATGTAAGAATACGGAATGTTGGATAAGTAAAGGACATGAGGGAGGCAGACGTCCAAAACTCAACTCACCGAGGAAGGAGCTTAAAGCCACGATCCTCAGAGGCTGGACCATCTGGAATGGCACGCCTACTCTTGGGTTTCCTCTCGGGGCCTGGGGGAAGGCTGAGCAATAAACGGGCTGGAATGGGGGCGCCTGCCTGGGCTGCAATCACCGTGCCTGCTGCTCCCACTAGTCCCGTGATTGCTGTCCTGGCCACTGCCTGCCCCATCCCAGTTCGCGATCGTGAATGGGAGTTGAAATATATTCACGAGTTCCTAGATCACCAAGTGGAGGGTCACGAAGGCCTTCAGCACCTGGACTGCACGCCAATCGTTCACGGGGGGGGCGAGCCAGAGACAAAACGCGGACACGAAGCCCGCCAGATACATGAACGCACGGCACTGATAAAAATACTGCAACCACCACTTTGCCGGCACAGCTTGAGGAGAGGACGAGAGCAAGCCAATATGATGCTGGATATCCTCGGAAACAGCTGAAGCATTCGGATACTCGGACTCTGAATATGATCAGACACCTGAATCATTGGTAATACTCAAAACCATAAACCCCACACCTTGCTTTTGACTTGGGCATCTGCTTCCTGGGACAGTGGGCAGCGATGCACTTGTCCACGTTGCCTGTGACACCCTCGTCGTTGGCCATCGCCGTCCAGGGGAAGTTGGTGGCATCAGGCCGTGCGAGCTTCTTCGGCACGGTACTCTTCTTGCCCACGATCGACCGAAGCCAGCCTTGCTCCGCACGGCTGAGCACCGAAGTAGAAGATGGGGGCTCCGCCACTGGTGCTGGGGACGTCTCGCGGCGCATGGGCACACCCTTCGAACCATCTGACTGCTCGCCTCTATCGCCATCCAAAAGGTGTGCCATTTCGTGGCCAAGCGAGCTCTAGATCGCCATGGCCAGATACTCTTCCTGCTTACGTGAGCGTTGCTCCTCGGCCCGATCCTTCTCGCCTGTCAAGAACGCACGGTGCCCTGGGCCTTTCCGCGCAAGGGAGTCGCGCAGTTTCGCGACGTCAGTCGCAGACCGGGATGCAGACCGAGACCGATATCGGCCAGCACGATGACGATCCTGCTCATCACGGCCCCGCCCACGATCACGATCATCACGTCGGTCTCGACGACCCCTGGAACTCCCGCCACGATCATCGCGATCTCCCCGACAAGAGGAGCCCGCACAGCGTCCACGGTCGGCCACGATCCCTGTCACGATCATCACGCCGATCGTCTCTGCGGCCCTCACGGCGAAACCACCTGCCACCCTAACGATACCACTCATCGTAGCTGTGGCGGTCTCCGCATCGATCTCCATTGCGGCGGCCCCATGAGAACTGGCCTCGGCCATCACCGCCACCCCCCATGGGGACGATAGCCGTCGGAAAGGAAGCAATCCACTGCCTCGCGATGGCTCCAGCCTGGCGAACGGCAACAGACCAGGGACATGCGTGGATAACTGCACGGATGAAGCCAGGAGGGCACCCCATGAGGAATAGCATCAAGGATAGCTCAACCAACCACGCAACCACCTTGGGGATCGGGATCTCGAGGCGCTGGGGCCTCGCCAACCTTCCAACGCACAGAGAGATGAGAATGCTGAAACCACGGCGCACTTGACCCGGCCAGGGAAAACACGTTAGACTTAGGGCGGGGGCCAGCGGAGTCCTTGAGGAGCCATGCACGATTATCACTCTTGGGGGCGATCTCGATGTAGGCGCCGTTGGGCCATAGTCCCGAGTCTAACCATACACATGGGGATCCTGGGTTTCCCAGGTTGGATGCTGCGGATAGCCCCACCAGCCCTCTGGGCGTAGATGGTTTAAGGAACTTTCTCTTCTAACCTCATTCTTCCCCTTCGGGGAGGGGTTCACCCCTCCCCCTACCCCCCCCCCCCCCCGAACTTGGACGGGGGGGGCCGCTGGTAGTTAGAGCGTCCAAGACGGCCCAAGATGGTTCCAAGAAGGCCTCAGATAGCCCAAGATGAGCTCTAAGATGGCGCAAGATACCCCAAGATGGCTCGAGATGGCTCCCACGATGCTCCAAGAGGCCCCAAGACCGCCCCAAGACGACTCCAAGTGGCCACGGAGCCTCCCAAGGAGGCCTCCCAAGAGGCCATGTTGCTTTCTCGCTTTTGTTTCTCGCTTCTCGCTTTTCGCTTGCCGCTTCTCGCTTTTTCGCTTTTTCGCTTCCGATGGCCATCCGATGCCTCAAGATGGCTCCAAGAAGGCCCAAGAGAGCCCCAACA